TTTGGTATCGTCACAGTTTTAAGTCCCGTGAAAACACGGTTGCCATGGTGATTCACCCCGCGGCATCGGGGGAAAAGGCTCATACTTAACGCTGCTTTTTTGCCTCGATTGATGGCACGCGAAATACCGGCGTTATCAAAAATATCTAGTTGATTTAACACGTAAGATTTCGGATAACCCAAGAGATGACACTGGCAAGGATCGATGGAATCCAGTTGCTGGTCCCCATGCTGCTCACTTTTCATCTGAAATGTGCATTTTGTTTTGACGGCTTATCCGACGCAGCGATGTACTGCTGTTTTATGACCGTGCAAATCAAAATTATCAGACTTAAAGTTTGGAATAATATACCAAAGAGGTGTGAGCGTCGGGTATTTGCCAACGTCTGCTTATAAGTACTGACTCAGATATGAGTTTAACAATGAGATCATGTCTCCTGGATGCTATTTAAAGCAGCAGGCTATAGGAAACATTACTGCGCCAGTGATCTGTATCGCCTGGTGTCAAGCACCATTTTGGTTGGGTTTTATATGTCATAGAATGTGTTAGAATATGAAATACGACTGCACGCCACTTAAGCTATCTTGGTAATATCATGTCATTTTCAATATATTTAATATCATAAATGAACAGACCTATTCACCGGACGCGAGTAACGGCCCTCGCGGCACGGGGTAGCATGCTGCTAGCCCCGGACCTGCCTGGGTTTGGGCCCGCAGTTGGGCGTCGTCCCACTCGTCAACGACTTTACAATCCCGGAGCCGCCACGCCTGTCGACGGCCACGGACCGAGTTACGGGTGGCCATGCGTGACAGAAAGTCGTCCACTGGGCCTCATTTTCCTGGCGCTGGTCAAGGCGCTGGGCGACGTGACCGCCCGGCTCACCCTGCGCAGCGAAAAGTCCTGGCCCTGGGACGCGGCCCCCCTCCTGTTGCTGCCCACCGCCGACGGCCTGCAGGAGCTGCTCTTCGATTCCGAAGTGGTGTCCTCTTGGTGCCGGCGCAAGCAAGAGTGACCATCGATCGAGCTGCCGACCGGTCTGCCCGCCAACCCTCTGGTCGCATTGCTGTTTACTCGCTGATCACACGGCTGTTGGTGCGATTCAAAAGATCCAACAAAAATTCAAAACACGGCCTGAGGTATGCAGAGGGGTCAGCGAGAACCAAGAGACAGCTTGCATTGTGTCGCTAGATCCACGGAGCGCAAATGTTAAGTCAATAATATGACCAGAAACCCCGCAAGAACCCGGAGCCAGCCTATCTTCAGGACCTGGCAACAACCAAGGTGCAGAAACATGTCAAAGCCAACAACAAAGACCAGGATCTCATCTGAAAGCATTGTTAATCCACTACGTATTCACTTGATAAGCTTACGTTATCCAGCGTGCTTCCGCAGCTATTAAAGCACATATGTGAGAGACCTTTGATATCAGGCACCATTTCAATAACAGAATGCTATCAAATAGCAACCCGAGCTGGTGTTGACGAATGAGCCAGTGACGAACGGGGGTCGGGATCGAACGTTTTGTGAGTGAATTAATGGGATCAAGCGGTTTGTGAGTGAATTAGTGGGATCACACGGTTTGCGAGTGAATGAATGGAATCCAGAAACGAGGGTGCGGTATTTGTAACGAACCAATTGAAACTTGTGATCATATGTTCGGTTTGGAAACAACAGGTGAGAACTAGGAGCCAGAGCCTGTTATTTGCAAAATAACCCACGTGATTCAGTAACCAAGGACTAGTGATAATGAAAGAGCTAGCCGAAGCGAGGGATCTAAGGCCTCGTTTTGATGAGAGTAAGTAGGTACCAGAAACCGACATTGAAAGCCAGGCACATGTTTGCTGGAAACGGTTTTTTTAAGGGCAAACACGAATATAGATACAGTGGCAATGTCAAATGTGATATTTTAATTCATTATATACCATCATGTTTATCAGCACGCTCAGTAGAGCTATTTTTCGCTGACATCAGATCGAATATTTCCTGCTTGTGAACTCTGGTTCCGAAGAAAAATATCCCAATGAAAACAAACTATTTGTACCAATTTCAAATATTACCACTTTTATAAATTGTCCACGCTGTAATGTCGTGCAAGTATTGTTGTAATGGTGCAACATATGGCAGTTTTGGTCTCGTGTAATAGTTTGACATGGGCCGGAAATTTTCTAAATTGTCACTTCGCAGCTTCCCCAAAGCCATAGACTACATTTACGGAGACCGGAGCGTTCTATCTTATTGTTTTTATAGCCTTGCTCTGGTCCATCAAAGGACGAATATAATCTCCGAATTCGCGGCTTCCCCAAGTCATAGGCTAAGACAATAGTAGTAGCCTTATTCCTCGGAGAAAAACCAGAACAATGGAGATATAGTTGAGTCGATATTTCGGCAACATGCCTTTATGGAAATAATAGCAGAAGACGTCCGCTATTGTTTCGATTTTATTTATTCTAAAGGCATGCTGCCGAAATATCAACCCAGCTATATCTCCATTGTCCTGGTTTTCTCTGAGGAATCAGGCTATTACTACTGTCTTATCTATGTGAATAATGTTTCTCGCTAATGCACTGAACAACTCACGTCAAGCCACAGGCTCTACATTTACGGAGACCGGGTCACTCAACCTTATTGTTTGTATAGCTCTGGTTTGGCGTGCCATCTCGTGTTTTTACGGGCAAGAGCATGCTTCGATTTCCGTTGGATCTCGGTGCGGAAAAATACAGATGTGATAGCTTTGGGTCCGTCTGCCATAGCTGCAGACGGCGCGGATTGTATTGCTGCGTCGGGAATAGATCTATGGAATATCATTTAAAAGATAATATTTGGGTGTAAGGTTTTGAACTACACCGACCTCGAATCGCATGTCGTACTAGCAGCGCAACTTTGGGAAATCATGGGGCTTTAGCCTCCCACTCCGCCGCCGTCAGCTTCGAGCGTAGCTCATCACCACAACGGTCCTGAATAGGATTGTTCATGTCCACTTTATTCACGTATCATTGCAACAAGTAGTTTATCTCTTGATTCAGTACAATTGTAATATGAGTACATTATTAAAGCATGCCAATAACGTGAATTCCGGAATCTGGTTATCAGGAAAACTGTTTTGTTTGTCTCCCAGACACTAGCATGGGCAGCGGCACGTTTAGACCAACAGCGGAATGAGGTACGGGTAGTGAACTGAGACTCGATCGCAGGAAATAGTCCCCCTCCGCCATCGCAAATGATGGTGGCCCCTCCCCTCCCATTTGCAAATTTTGGCTGTACCCCTGTGCCTTACAGATGCTCCGATAGCTCTGGACGTCGCAACAGTCTGCCACTTTGTTCGTTGGTCTTACTATGAAGAGCTCAGAATTGAGACATCACGCAGAATGTCACAAGCTGCATCGCAGTTGAGATTTTGGTTTTGGCCACCATGACAAGGTGGGCTTATTTTATGGGGATTTTTGGGCGGGCAAGTTAGGTGCGATTTTTAAGGATGTCATTTGTAACTAGCGCTTTACTCCGTCGCATATTGTTACGTAGATGCGTGGCTGGCAGCCGAGAAATTCACGGCATACATTTGGTACGGAGTTTCTAATTTGCCTCCGAATATGCCAGGGGCGTAGCCAAGACGTAGCCAAGGCGTAGCCAAGGTGTAGCCAAGGTGTGCGCCCTCCCCCACGAGCCTGAGGAATGGTGAGAATTGTTATAGAGTTATGCTGAGAAAAAGAATAGAAGGGTTTGGTAGAAATTTGGGCCAACTGCGCAGGATTTTGGAAATAATTTGAGTGACCCCTCCTTCCCCCCGGTACAATTTTGGCTATGTGCCTGAAGTCTATCAACTACCGGGTCCCTGACTGTCCAGACGCTACATGGATCAATGAAAGTTCATGTGATTGTTAGACGCGGGTGCAAATGTTGCTTTGCGTTATTTTGGGTAGGTCACTGCCCTCACCCAACCCACCCCCACCCCAATGACCGATTTGTCCCTCCTCCCTCAAGTGTGAGTTTGGCTTCCTAACTTCTGGAACGTATGTACAAGCGGATCATTAGAAATAGGACCTAAAATGGGATCAATATTTAAGAAGGTTTCTAAGACTTGTTTCCCAGGTGCAAAGAACAAAGGTATTGATGGCTGCGATAACATGCTCAGTGAGGACAGCTAACAGGGGGTCACTTAAGAGTTCAACAACACTTAAGAGTTCAGCGTTTGTGCCGTATTTAGTTGGCTATTTTCTGGTTTTGCCCGAGGCATCTTCAGTAAGGTCGTGATTTGACGAATGTAAGATGAGCGGCCAATTTAAAAGAAGCCTCGGAGCCACACCCGTTACTGTCACTTGGAGTTCGCTGATGTCTTGAAATGCACGCCTTGCTGTTTTGCCTTCGTTCGATGTGTCGCCTCCCTCTGATTTGTGCTGACTCAACACGAAGCTCGCCTTTTTTTCTAGCACGCCGTTGTGCCATTTTCTTGTGTTAGAGTCCGTTATGTCAGACTGTCTTCGATCTTTAAAGACCAAAATATCGTCAAACTTTTAAGACCATTCGTGTCAGCAATCGATAAAACATACTCTGACGATCCCTCTCATGCAAACACATTTTTGACATGGCATATTTATCATTCTTGAATGCATGACAAACATTTCAATTGACAGAACAGAGGTGTCAGCAGACAACAGAAAAGTTCCAGCCTTATGCGCATGAAAACCAACAACAAGAAGTTCATGTGACCTCCAATAGGGATTTTACATAGTCTGATCAGTTTGATGATGGAAAACAACAAAACCGGACGACGTCGAACATTTCAGAAATCGATGTTTCGGCCACATTCGAACCGTAATCTGCGCAGTATGCCGCGGCGTGGCCCGCACCAGGGGCCGCGGTCGTCGCTGGCCATGACGCCTGCCGCCAGCACGACCAGACGCAGGTGCCGCCCCGATCGGTGGCGGCACGGCCGGTACGTCGGCAGAGAGGGAGAGGTGTCAGCGCTGGGCTCGACAGCTGAACGTGCCGCTGTCCACCAGGTACCTGATGCTGAAGGCGCAGGCCGGGCTGGCGGCCGAGCTGCTGGGGGACCTGCGCGCCGCCCAGCTGCCCGACTCGCCGGCGCGCCGGCTCTACCTGGAGCACCCGCACGTGCGCGAGGTGACCGAGTTCGTCTCGCACAGCCTGCACCTGTTCTTCAGGTGAGCGGCCGTCGCCCGGCCACTGGCGGACGGGAGTGGCGGCTGAGGCGTGGACGCGCTGCGCGACGCTGCGCGACCCTGCGTTCGTGACCGGTGACGAGTTTGACGCCGTGGCCGCGACTGGTGGTGTGTGTGTTACCTGCTGCCTGTCACGGGGGATGTGTTTGAACTCGGATTTAGGACAGGTGATATGTGACCTTAGGTTTGTGTCAGGTGGCGTATAACCTGGGGTTCGTGACAAGAAATATGTGAGCTCAGGTTTATGACGAGTGATGTGTATGACATGGAGTTTGTGACAGGTAACGTGTGACCTCGTGTTTGTGACAAGTGACATGTGACTTCGGGTTTGTGACATTTGACATGTGCTCTGGGGTTTGTAATAGGTGACATGTGACCTCAGGTTTGTGACAGGTGACATGTGACCTTAAGTTTGTGACAGGTGACGTAGGACCTCGGGTCTAGAACGGATGTCGTTTGTGACTCGGGTTTGTGATGGATGACGGTATGCGACCAAGTATGCAAGGATAGCGACAGGCAAGAAACCTTATACACCTAATACAGCTTACAAAAAAATATCCTGACAAGCTCCCGGCGCGGGTCATACTGATAAGCCAAAAAGCACATAAACCTTCGTCATCTGACGTAATGCCAAAAAAGACCTAGACAAACCTTTGACACCTGGCATGATGGCAATAAAAATCACCCGACAAACCTCCGGCACCTGGCAGAACGTTTTACGCGTGCCGCGCGCCAAGTTTCGTATATCGCTGAACGTTGTGGGTCATGTGTCGCTTGTTCGCGCCTGGTATACATTACATTTAATATTCGCCACGTTCCATGTATACGCTGTAGCAGCGGGAGTGGTTGTGGCTTCGTATAGCGGCAGTCTCTGGAGCGAGATCAATAGGCGTATTCATTATTCGCGGAGATTTATGGCACTAAGCAGCAGGCCGCATTTAGGGCTTCCTGTAAGGCGTAGTTAGCTTGCTCAGGTGGTGCTTCTTTCCAAGGCACGCCGAGAAATTGATTGAGTATTTGAGACCAGCCTTGATGAAAAACATGACGACGGCTTGCTATGCTGATAGTTGCCATAGCAGCGTCTTATAAAGAACTTTGTGCGCAGTTGTTTGTTCTGTCCGCCAAACGCCGGTGGCGCCGTATTGCCGCTCCCCTGCGGGCGTGCCTTCGGGTAATGCGGGGCAGCGTGGGCAGCGTCAGCACCGGTGGCCTGCGGCCGGCCCCCGTCGAGTGGGGTCGGGCCGCCCGGGGTGAGAATTCCAGTCTCGGCTGGCGGCACCAGCTGGGACCGGAGTTCTCTGCGTAGAGCTATCGAGCAAGGGACGTGCCCATTGGGACCCCTTTATCAAGGTGACGCACTTGAACTGCGGGGGCGACTGATGCGTTTAATGGTTTCTTCGGAATAAAGTAACGCCATCTACAGTCGTTGCGGTGCGGTTTTCGAGCAAACGCCATGGCACAGACCGCATCTCCTCCGAACATTTATTTGTTACGTAAATGCCGCAGCGCCTTTTTCTACGCGTGCTGTCGCAACCATGCGCTCACACACAAACTTGGCAGCAATTGTATATCATCGATGCTTTTGTTTACGGTTCGCAACATTCGGACTGGGTTCCCATTGTCCTAATTAGACCGACCGGGGTCCCGTGTGTGTTGGCATGTGTACCAGGCCCTGTGCATGGTGTTCATGCACGAGACCTGGTCTGTGGGCTCAGTGAGGCGTATTGGGTGTACGGTGGTGCGCGCTTCCCGACGCTTGATAGACGTAGCACGCCACTTCAGTTGTATTTTAAAACCTGTTTTGAACTGTTGGTGCGGTTAGCGCTGGACCGGAGGTTAATTTTTGTCGTGCAACCCTAACTCGACATCACTAATATAAGTTCCGTGACAACTTAATGAGTGCACATTGCGTTGTCGCTATGCGTAGTGTAAATAACCTTCCGTGCGGTCTTTATACTGAGGGCGGGTTTTTAGGAGGGCATTTATAGGCCGCCGCTCTCTGGACAGCTGACAGCTGGCCTCTGCGCACCGGTCGGATCTAGCAGCCTGCACTTTTTTGACGGATTACGATTGTCGCTGGATTCGGAGCCGGACACCCTGTAGAGCATTATAAGGCAGGGTCGGCGACGTGGGCGGCCAATGCTGCCCTGGTCAATAGTCCCGCTATACGGTGTTCTGGTTTCAAAAACATGTACCGATGTAGCTATCGACATTGCCTTTACGCAATGCTCCGCCTTTACACCACGAATGAGACGTGGATGACGCCGGCCGTCTGACAGGGTGCGTTCCTTAGCACTTATCGATACCATCAGGCGAACGGCTGACCAGTGGGTACACTAACCACACTGACGCCCACTGCTGCACGCTGACGCACACTGATGCTCACTGAAGCACACTGACGCGCACTGGTAAACACTGACGCACACGGATGCTTATGGACACACACTGACGCGCACTGATGGGCACTGACGCACACTGATGCTCACTGATGCACACTGACGCGCACTGACGCGCCCTGATGCACACTGACGCACACTTACACTGACGCACCGTGACGTGCACTGATACACACGGATGCACACTGAGCGACCAGTACGCATGTCGGCCGCGGCCCACCTGCGGGAGGACGGAGCTCTCAGACGCAGCGGCTCGTGTGTGTGCGTCTGAGGGTGCGATCGCTGCCGCAGGTCCCCCAGCCTGGTGCTACAGCAGGCGCTGAACGAGCCGGCCGACAGCTGGCTGCGCGGCCTGGCCGAGGAGCTGATCCTCGGCAGCAGCCGGCCGCCGGGCTCGGCGCTGCTGCGGCTCAGCTGCCAGCCGCGCGCCTCCGTCCAGGAGCCGCGCCCCTGCCAGATGACCATCAGGCCCGGAGAGGTCAGCGGTCCGGGGGTGGGGGAGGGGGGGGGGGGCGGTGGCGAGGCTCGGGCGGGATGTGGTGAGGGGAGAACGCCACGAGAAGACACGGCGGGGTAATATGCAGTAGTCTATTGAAGACTGGAAGGGTTTGTTGGGGAAGAGGAGTGGCAGGACATTTGAGCATAGACTTGTCTTCGGCATGGAGAGGTCTTTGATCTGAGGAACGATTGCGGGCGCTTCGAGGCACCCGCAACGTTGTGTGACCTGTGACATACCAACTGTTCATGCTGTATTACAGAGGCGGGGCCACCGGCGTTACGAAGGCTTATTATATCATATATTTCAAAATACCTTAAAATGTTAACGGTTGTTTGAACACGCCCCAAGGGTCAGCCAAGTATACCTTGTTTCTAGAAATGTTTGGCTCGGTGGCCTGGCCGGCCGGCCGTCGGCCCTGCGGCCGTTGCGTTAGCTCTAGCAGCTGGCTGCCGCCGTGTCCACAGCCGGTGACGGCGGTCGTGGCGGACCCGAACGGCGAGGAGCTGTTCATCGGCCAGCCCAGCGGCGCCGTGCGACTGTACAACCTGGCCTCGGGCCGCGAGACCCGCAGCTTCGTCGGCCACGGAGAGCCCATCACAAGTGGGTCCCCGCTTCCGCTCCCGTCGCGCGAGTCGCTGGCTCGCCGGTCCCGGCTGGCGATGAGGGTCGGCCGTTGCGGCCCTGCTCCGGCGGGGCCACCAGGGTCGCGCGGGAAAAGACTCAGTGCGCATCGCTGAAAAAAACCGCGATCCCATCAGCCACTGCAGCCTTGCATTGCGTTTGAGCGTTGTTCTGAAGCCGAGCTGGGCGTGTGCTCGTGGTCGGGCTGAGCCGGCGCTTGCTGGCCGCGGCGCGCGGCGCGTGGCGCGCGCCCTCTGATCGTCAGGCGCCGCCGCAGGTCTGGCGCTGCTGGCGGACGGCACGCTGCTGGTGAGCGGCGCCGCCGACGGACAGCTGAGCGTCTGGGAGACCAGCTCCGGCGTGCGGCTGGCTGTCACGGCCGCCCACCGGCGCCGCGTCGCCTGCCTGGCCGTCCAGCCGGACACGGGCGAGTTCGCCTCGGTCGGCTGGAGCTGTGACGTCAAGGTGCGTCGGCGAAGCCGCTCCCGGCGCCGAGGGAGCCCCGCGCCCGATTGCCGGCTGCAGTTTCGCCGGCGCCCGAGTGTGTGGTCTGTTTGTCGCGGTAGTGGTATTGGAGCGCGGTTCGTCTCTGCCACAGTTGCGACGACCCAGGCTCATGTCACCCCCGTGTCACAGCTGTATTGCTGAAACTCCGCCTGCTCTCTGCCACGGTTTTGGTGTTTCAGCCCTTTTTGCCCGTGTCACAGCTGCAGTGGCCCAGCCCGTCTATCCCCATGTCACAGCTGTGGTGTCATAGCCCGTCCGTCCCCATGTCACAGCTGCGTTGTCCCAGCCCTGTCTGCCTCCATATCACAACTGCGTTGTCCCAGCCCCGCCTATCTCTATGTCACAGCTGCGTTGGTCCAGCCCCGTCTGTCCCCATTTCACAGCTGCGTTGTCCCAGCCTCGTCCGTCCCCATGTCACAGCTGTGGCGTCCCAGCCCCGTCTGTCCCCATGTCACAGCTGCGTTGTCCCAGGCCCGTCTGTTCCCATGTCACAGCTTTGGTGTCCTAGCCCGTCTGTCCGCATGTCGCAGCTGCATTGTCCCAGCCCCGTCTGTTCCCATGTCACAGCTTTGGTGTCCTAGCCCGTCTGTCCGCATGTCACAGCTGCGTTGTCCCAGCCCCGTCTGTTCCCATGTCACAGCTTTGGTGTCCTAGCCCGTCTGTCCCCATGTCACAGCTGCGTTGTCCAGCCCGTCTGTCCCCATGTCGCAGCTGCGATGGTCCAGCCCCGTCTGTCCCCATGTCACAGCTGTGGTGTCCTAGCCCGTCTGTCCCCATGTCACAGCTGTGGTGTCCTAGCCCGTCTGTCCCCATGTCACAGCTGTGGTGTCATAGCCCGTCTGTCCGCATGTCACAGCTGCGTTGTCCCAGCCCCGTCTGTCCCCATGTCACAGCTGTGGTGTCCTAGCCCGTCTGTCGCCATGTCACAGCTGCGGTGGTCCAGCCCGTCTGTCGCCATGTCACAGCTGCGTTGACCAGCCCGTCTGTCCCCATGTCACAGCTGCGGTGGTCCAGCCCCGTCTGTCCCCATGTTACAGCTGCGGTGTCCTAGCCCGTCTGTCCCCATGTCACAGCTGTGGTGTCCTAGCCCGTCTGTCTCCATGTCACAGCTGCGGTGGTCCAGCCCGTCTGTCCCCTTGTCACAGCTGCGTTGTCCCAGCCCCGTCTGTCCCCATGTCACAGCTGCATTGTCCCAGCCCCGTCTGTCCCCATGTCACAGCTGCATTGTCCCAGCCCCGTCTGTCCCCATGTCACAGCTGTGGCGGTTCCGGTCATCGTCGGGACTCGGCTCGCTCGGCTCCGGCGGTGGCGAGCTGCAGGAGCTGCGGGTGCTGTGCCAGGAGACGCAGCCCTTCAGCTGCGCCGCCTTCCACCCGACGCGGCCACTGATCGCCACCGGCGGCTGGGACGGCAAGATCAAGATCTGGGACACGACCGACATGCAGCGGAAGGCGGTGAGAGCATGGGGGGGGGGGGGGGGGGGCGTGGGACGGGGCGTCGGTGCGTGTTTTCCAATGCCTTGTAGAAGCAAAGCCTCTCTAATTAGTGTTGTCCTCAGCTTGAGGCTGATATAAGAGGACGTTTTTAAAAATTAATTTACAACAGCTACCGCTACTGAACGCTCGCCTTGAAATCAGGGGCAGAGCTGTTGCTCTCCTTTCTCAGCATCATCTGTATCGTATCATGTTCGGGAACGAATGTCGACACTTTTATTAAGTGGTGGACATCAGCTGGCGTGCCTCAGTGTGGGGCCCTCCATGTGTTGGCTGCGTGATATCCCCAGCGTTCTCCGTGCGTCTTCAGGTGCGGCACGGTCACATGGCGGCGGTGCGGTGTCTGGCCATCTCGCCAAACGCCGACTACCTCGTGTCAGGAGACCTTGCCGGGTGCCTCATCATCTGGGGCACCAAACACGGCGACCCGGTGAGAGTGTGGCGCTCTGTGCTCAACGTCCGCTTCTTCCGAAGTGCTCCCGGCCCGCAAAGCACGAGGACGACGATCATTTGGGATTTTCTGTCGTGGAACTTGAGTTCTTACCTTGAAAATGGCCGATCTTCAATCTGCAAGGAGATGCTGGTGGAAAAAGTATCAAGCTGTTGTGGAGACATGTAGGCTTGCCTACATTTCCAAAATTGTTGATGGCCACGGGTGAGCAAAGTTGAGGAAAAACGTGATAAAACAAAGTGGGATGGTGGAATATAGAAAATATACGAAATATATGCAGACTACAAATGAAAGAACACAAATAATCTGTTTTGAAATAATAATTGAAGCACGCGCATTCTAACAGCGATGCACGCCGGCCCGCTTTGTGCTGGTGTTTCAGTAATTGCCCGACGTCTTCGCATAATTGGCACCTATTAGCCTACCGTGGGCCGGTTGAATGTAGCATAACAACTCAAAATCCCATTAACACCAGGAGCTTAGTAATTGTTTCATCGTCATAAACAGCAAAATGACCTGTTTGGTCATGACCCTCGTCCCCTTCGAGCACGATCCTGCGCTCTTGCACGCCTCTTGGAAAGAGGATTTGGCTGGACACGAGGCTGATCAATGAGTGCTGAAGACCTCCCGTCCGTCGTGGGGTAAGCCACATAGGCTGCAATTATTCACATCCTGTTATGTTTGAGAATGGTGTTGAGCTGGGGTATAGTGAATGTAAAAGGTAATTTTTCGGTCAACTTGTTTGTATTGAACAGGAGCTTTCGGGATAATCTCTATCCCTCGTTTACGTCCTGTTTTATGCTTTTTACACCTATCCTTCGCGCGTCTTCTTACATTTATTCTTCGCGCGCGTCTTATTCTACGCGTCTTCCACATACCCTTAACGCGACATTCACAAGGTGTAAGTAAAACCCTTCAGCAAAGATCAGGCCATGACGAGGACGGAGAGATAATGGGATGTGGGTTGGCCAGTCCGCGCGAAATTGTGGCGGACGAAATCGATAGCAAGAGTGAGGTCGCGGTGGTGCTGGAGGTCCAAGCAGAATTGATGTGGGTTGATACAGCGACAAGTCACGGCGCACCGCTCTGTGTTGTGATGGCCGCGGGGTGTATGCAGCCCAGCACGTGTGTCGGCCGCGGGCGGAGGCGGCGGCGCTCAGTCGTGGCGCCCGCGCTGGGTCGCTGCTGCTCAGTTCGCCCGTCTGCGCCCGCAGATCCAGAAGGCGTTCGTGCACAAGGGTGCCGTGCAGGCCGTCTGCTACCTGAGTGGACAGAGATTCGTCTCCGCGGGCGCCGACGGCGACGTGAAGGTGAGCGGCGCGCGGCTGGCTGGCTGGCTGGGTGCCTGCCTGCCTGCCTGCCTGCCTGCCTGCCTGCCTGCCTGGCGTGCGCTGCCTCCCGATCAGTTCTCAGCTTTGGCAGCTGTCCCAGCTTCCTGCGTTACCCGCCGTCCCAGGCCCAGTGTGCTGGTCTTACCGGCGCTCAGAGGTGCTTTACGCGGGAGGCCTTCGTCGGGCACGCGTGGCTGCGGCCTCGGGAGACCGTTCCGCCCGAGCCCTGTTCTTCGGCCATCCCGCCAGCGGCCGGCTCCCCTACACCGCTCTGGCCGCGGCGGCAGGACGCCCCACGCCTGCGTTGGACCCTGTCCAGTCACGCGCGGCTGTTGGTCCCTGCCCTGCCACGCCAAATGAGACCGTTAGCTCGTGGTCTGCCTGACCAGCCCTGAACGCCCGTTGGTACGTCGTGCTGTGAGATATCATCGCTGGATACTGTGTTGTTTCTTCCGATGAGTCGGCGGACCTCTGTTCTGTGCCGTCGCCGGTGGCCGCCGGCTCGCGTCCTCTGCCGTCACCTCAGACGACCGGGCTCTTCCCTCTGCCGCCAGATGTGGCGCGCGCACGTCGGTGAGGAGGTGCTGCGCGTGCCGTCCGCCTCGGCCGTGGTGCTGGCGTGCACCGCTGCCGCCGGCGGCGTGCTCACGGTCAGCCTCAGCGGTCAGGTGGCCATGGCGGAGGCGGCCAGCGGCGCGCCGCGCTGGTCGCGCCGGCTCGAGAACGTGACGGCGGCGGTGTGCGACGGCCAGCGCGCCTACCTGGCTGCCGGGCGTGCGCTGCACGTGCTGCGACTGAGCGACGGCCACTCGGAGCGACAGCTGGCGCCGGACGCGCGCATCACCAGCCTCACCTGCATGCCCGAGGGCGCCGACGACAGCCACCTGGGCGTTGCCATGCTCGGTAAGTGCCGGTCGTCGCCCGGCGTGGGCTCTGCCCAGGCGCTGCGCCCGTGCTGTGCGCCGCGGGGCCACTGTTCGCTGCGTGTGCGGTGTCGGATTGCTGTCACCTGGGCGCGCCGCCGGTCCGGCGACGGTCGTGCGCTGACCTGGCCTGACCTGGCGCCGGGCCGCAGGTCTGGAGGACGGCCGGGTGGCGGTGGCGCTGGCGGACCGCGGCGACCTTGTCTCCAGCCTGGCGCACGCGGGCGAAGTCACCTGCCTGGCGTTGACCAGCGACCCTATCCTGGCCTCCGGAGGACGGGACGGCGTGAGTTGACTGCGCTCGCGCGTGTGCCGCCGTCGAGCGCGGGCCGCTTCGTTCGGCGTCGCCCGGACTCTGGGCCGCCGTGGACAAGGCTTTGCATAGGACTAGTCAGCCGGTGCAGAGGTTGTGCTTTAAGGGTCAACCGGCCATCTGCTGTGCTTTTGTCTGGGCATGTTGGAGCCGTTCCGGTCCGGGTGTCTGCCCGATCGGAGGGAACCGGTGTCGAACGGTCCGCACGTGATCGCTCTCGGCGGGTGGTGGGGGAGAGCGGGGCCCGACTCGGCGACCGGTGGGGGAGAGCGGGGCCCGACTCGACAGTGGATGGAGGAGGGCGAGGCCCGACTCGGTGGCCTGTGGGGGCTGGGGAGAGCGGGGCCCGACTCGACGGCCGGTGGGGGAGGGCGGTGCCCGACCCTGCGGCCGGTGGGGGAGGGGAGGGTGCCCTACTCGGCAGCCGGCTGACCGCGCCCTCCCCGGCCCCGTCAGATGGTTTTGCTCTGGACGTCGGACGACGGCTGGCGGGCGCCGGTCCGCTCGCTGGAGGCGTTCTCCGTGCCTGTGTCGGCGCTCGCCTGGTTGGAGAACAGCCTGCTGGCGGCCGGCCAGGACTCGCAACTGGTGGTCTACGCGGACGCCGACAAGCCCGACAGCGACGAGCTGACTCGGCGGGTCATCACCGGCAACGACGCGCCCGTCTGCTCGCTGGCCGTGGCGGTGAGTGGGGTCTCGGCCTGACCACGGGCACGCGTGCCCAGCCGCTCGTTGGAGCGGGAATCGCCTGCTGCTACAATAGTAAGGTCTGGAATTGCCAGTGCCGGCACCTTGGCGGCACTGCGGCGGTCAGGGTCGTCAGGAATGTACGCGTGTCGCCGTTTTCTTTCTCCCTCTCTCTCTCTCTCTTACCATTTTCGGTACCCGTTCAATGACGATCGCCGAGAGCTCGTGCTGCCAACTCGCCTGATCTCCGCTAGTCTTCATCTTTCTTAGAGCATCTTCAAGTCGTCAGGTCTTCAACCAGGAGTGTGGTTTCCTGTTCGGTTGGGGGGGGGGGGGCGGGGGGGGGGGGAGGGGGCTTCACCCCTCCCTGTGGGAATAAAGCTGGCAAAATCTGCGGAGAAACCTGTTTGTTGGTGTATTTTGTTGGTAGGTTGGGCAATGTGTCACTGTTCAGCGCGCCCAGCGCGCAAAAAAAAAACTGCGATTGTCTTCGTGTCCACACCCAAGACCATGCGACGGCCGCCCGTAGCGAAGGCCTCCCGTCCTGTCCAGGAAGCACTGCAGTCCCGTCCCTTTGCTAACGTGGAATGTCTGAACGGCAAAAAATCGACAGTGATCGAAGTCGAATCGGGAAAAGACGAAGGACAAAAAATACCCAGACGGAAATTGTAAAGAGGCAAAATCCGGCGTGGATGGAAGCCAAGCAAAACAAATTGTGACGGCAGCCAAAGCCAGGGACGGTCTGCCGATGGGCAAACTTTAATTCAAAGACGGTCACATGATTATGCAATTAAAAATATCAGTGCAATTCAAGTGATGTATGGTGAAACGATTTCCCTACCTCACCGGTTCATATGACCATTGATTACAAGCGTAATGTATCACATCCACGAAGGAGGAGGAACAAACAAATGAACATGAACGCGTCGCATGGCATCGAAAGCTAATAATGACTGGCATGGCTCTGTCGTCAATTTCTGCCCCGCGAGCAGATCTGTGCCTGGTTCCCAAATTGTGTTCTTCAAAAACCGATTCCAGGTTCCAGAACTAGGGAGAAAACAAAAATAAGTTTGGAATAAAACCGGGGACCACCAAGAGCTGGGATCCAGCAATGACTTGTGTTGAGAGAACAGGCAAGAACTAGGAGCCAGCTTGATAATAAACGAGAGCATACAGCAATAGCCGACATTCGGCTTGGGATATGCAGAGATTTAGAAAGAACGGGACCCATCCTGAAATTATGCCGAGAGATCTAGTGAGAATTAAGAGCCAGCCTGGCATGCGGCTAAAAATCAAGCGCGAGCACAGATCCAGCCGGGAATTATGCTGAGGATCCAACAAGAACCAACTTCCACTATGTGGTGGAACTGACCAGAACCGAGATCCTCCTGGAATCGTTGCCAGGAACTAGTGGGTATTCACACAGTTCACTGGTATTATGCACGACGCACTTGTAAATGCCACGTGTGAATATGCGATAAATATTGTGCCGTACACGTCATACGTTCAATGATAGCTAGTCGTCAAATGGCAGCCCAACTTGTGTTTACGAGTGAGATCTAATGTCTTTGTAAGCAGTTGGGAGCAAAAACCAAGGCCTGGTATCTGTGAGAAACCAGTGACAACCATGAATCAGGGCCTGGTATTTTGTAAATGGATGGAGGGAACAAGGAACCAGAAACTGGTGTTTGTGAAATGTCTAGTGGTAACCAGGGTGTGGAAAGTCATTGAGACCCTTGAAATAGGTTGTGGTGTTTGTGGAGGGACTAGTGGAACCGGGAGCCCATATTTCTATTTACGAAGGAACCAGTGAGGACACGCAACCATGATGCGGTGCTTGCAAAAAAACAGATATGACCCATGCACCAGGCGGTGTTGTTTATGAAGGACCAGCCGTAACCAGGATCCAATATCGCGTTTTTGAGAGTGGGAAGGGGAACCAGGACATGCCTGCTCAGAACCAGGACTAACAAAAAACGGAACCTGCGAGGGGCGCCACCGCTTTGCCGCTTGCCGCCGTAAGTCATGCTCGCTCAGACACTGCCAAATGGATCTTTTGATTCCTGCTTTCGGTACTGTAAGGGGTCATTAATAATTCGCTCGAATTCTTAGCATGCCTAACGTGACGCAGGCACTGGACCACCTCCGGGAGCCTGATGTGACGCGAGGAATGATGGACTGCTCGGGTGCACGGTCGGATATCGGACGGGCGCGCGCTCGAGACGATGGCCGGTTCGCACGGTGTGCGGGCGCCGCGGAATGGTGCTGGCTCCGGCAGACCTTTGGCGTTGTGAGCGTGCTGTCCTGTGCTGTCGGTGAACGCGCCAGGGGCTTTCCCATCGCCTCTGGTTGCTAATACTTCTCGGCGTCATTGGGGCTTTGCGACGCACTCATCTGCTTAGGCTATGCGGCGGCGTCTGCTTCTCACTCCGGCAGGAAGGGCGGGCACCGCGGGGAACCGAACCCAGTACCTCTGGTTTGCTAATGCCTCCCCCCCGCAGGGGCACCGGCTTCGGTCGGTGTAGGGGACTAGCGCCCCCTCGGGTCCCAGCTCCGGTAACGGGTGGACAGCGCAAGCTGGTCCTCTCAGGGCGTAGCGACCCTGCCGGTACGTGAGCTCCTGCTCCTTGTCCCGCCCGCTCCCTCCACACTACCCGCACTCCCGCATCCGGCCCTATCACCACTCCCCATCCTCGTTGTATTGGGGTCGCCGTGCCCCCTCGCCCACGTCCCCGGGTTGATCGGATCCTGGTGGCTGAGGGGCGCGTCGTGCGGGTCGGTCACGGCGCGCCCCAACACTCCACTTTGGCCAGAATATCCGGGGGCGTGGGGGGCCCGTGGGGCCCCACACGGGTCTAGCGGCTTGTCACTCGCGTTGCGGTTGGGTGCCCCTTGCGGGTCTCCGCTTGGGGCGCCTGGCCGCGCGCAGCGGCTTAAGGGGTCAAGGGGCGGCGGCGCTGAACCACGGTCAGGACGGGGAGGGGTCTCCCCGGTTACACCTGGCCGTGTGGGAGGCGTCGTTCGCCCCGTATAGCACCGGGGTAGCCCTGACGGTGACCACCTCCTGAGGGAGTGTTGGGCCGTCCCCTTGTTGGGCTCCGAGGTGGGTGGGGAGCCTCGGTGCCGAAATGAAAACCACCTTTTATGGCTTCCTCTAACACTAAAAACACCCGTCCTCCGAAAGGGGGACGGACCTCGATAGCCCCAGGGTGCAGAGAGGAATCTGCGCCCTCCGGTCCACGGATCCTGATCTTCGGAAGTGAAGAGATTAAATTGGCTTCCCTGTCACCGTTTCAGAGGCGGAACGGCTGCGACAGGTTTGGAAAAATTATAAGATGTGACAAGCTTCGGGATGGGAAAATAGAAGTAGAGTTCGCTAGCGGTCTGAGGCAACCAGGGCCATGGCAGCCAAGGAATTTACGTTTACCGTTCGGGACGAGACTGGCAAGCATGAAAAGACCGTGTCAATATCAGCCATACCACATAAGACCAAAAATTCGTCCAGGGGCGTAGTCAATTGTTTCGATCTTCGTGACGTCGCCGAGGACGAGATAGTCGAGGAGCTCTCAGAGTTTGGTGTGACGAGCGCTCGCAGGATTCTCGTCAGACGGGGAGGAGAGCTGCTGCCCACCAACAACCTCATTCTGACGTTTAGTTCCACCGATTTGCCTACCGAGATACGTGTTGGATACGCTCGAGTGAAGGTTCGCCCTTATGTGCCTAACCCCATGCGGTGCTACCAGTGCCAGCGATTCGGCCACACCAAGCTCCACTGTCGTAACCGTCCAGCGTGTGGTAAATGTGCGTCATTCGAGCACACGAGCGAAGCCTGCACCTCTGCGGAACCCCATTGCGTGAACTGCGGCAAGGACCAAATCCCGCACACGACGTATGACCGTACATGTCCGGCCTACGCGAAAGAAAAAGAGATTATATCGATCAAAACCTCTAGAAATGTCTCTTTTCGTGAAGCTCGTGAACTTTACAACGACAGTCATCCAAAAACATCGTATGCGTCCAAAGTGAAAACTTCGTTCCCACAAAGTAATGCCATCGAGCACATGACGGCCGTTCAGTTCGTGGGACTTCTGAGGTCGTTTGGCCTGTCGGTTGTTCCCTCGGTCCGAACGCCCGACTCCCAGTCGGCACCCCAAGCTCCCTCTCCGCCGATCGAGCAATCGGTGGACGTCGCACCGCTGGCCTCCTCGGCGCGCGCCGGATCACCAGCGGGCGACGGTTGGACGACGGCTCGGCGTGGTCGGAGTCCCCGCGCGCCGCCGGCCTTGCCTTTGTCTGCGACCCAATCGGTCCCTTTGCCACAGACACCTCTTGCCAGTGCCTGTGAGCGTGTGGCAGAGACACTGGAACGTCAGGAAGCTGACAGGCGCGCCCGCGAGGCCAAGCGAGCACGCTTGGCCGAACTGGAGCGCGCTAAGGCGGCAAGCCGCCTGTCCGGTGCAGACAAAGGGCCCGTCCCCCGAACCAGCACTCCATCGCCACGAAAGCCGGTGGAGGCCCCCGCTGGTGCCTCGAACCCCGGTAGAGGCCCACCAATGGGCCCTTCCCCGCCTCCACCCCGGGCTGGGGACGCTGGCGTAAAGCGTGCCCCAGCCGGCCCCCCATCTCCATCTGACGGAGGTAGCCCAAGGATTCGTCCTAGGGTGGGGCACGGCCCCCCGGAATTAAGCCGAAGCTCTCGGTCTGAGGCGTCTGGACATGCAACTGGTGCAGCCGAATTTTTTTAAGCCGGGATTGTTCTAGCTCCTCACATCTTACCTCTTTTTTAATACGCCCTTTTACAGGCGTTTTTACAGTGGAACTGTAGAGGATTAAGGGCGAACGCCCTCGATCTCGAGGCTGTCGTCAGCAGAGTCTCTCCTGCAGCCGTGGCGCTGCAGGAAACCAAGCTAGCGCCTGACAATTTTTGCTCTCTGAAAGGATATGCGATGTTTCGCAACGACGTGTTGACGGAGAGCATTCGCTCACGGTGGCGTCCTCCTGGCAGTTCACCATAGCGTGCCAGCGAGGAGGCTAAGCTTGCGGTCCACACTTCAGGCTGTGGCCGTACGGCTTTATTTCAACCATCGTCACATCACTGTTTGCTCACTTTACCTTCCACCAGGCATTGCTTTTCCGTTGGCGCACCTTAGGTGTCTGCTGGCTGAACTGCCTCCGCCACTTCTTCTTCTCGGCGATTTTAATGCACATCACACCGCATGGGGGTGTGACGTCACCAATGCTCGTGGGAGGCTGTGCGAGAATTTTATCCACGGTGCTTCACTATGTATTTTAAACACAGGAACTCGTACGCATTTTACAATGCCGTCCGGCCAGACGTCCGCACTAGACTTAAGCCTCTCCAGTCCCCAGCTCGTCCAACACCTCGAGTGGAGTGTTGGAGATGACCCCATGGGAAGCGACCACTTCCCAGTGTGGGTCCGGTTTAAGAGAGGTGGAGCGTTGGGTGTTCGGCCACAACGCTGGAATTTTAAGAAAGCGGACTGGTGTGAATTTGAGACTCGGCTCGACGAATCGTTCGTAACTGAGGCTGTGAGGACGGTACCCTCTATTGAGGTTTTTACTCACAGACTTCTAGAGTGTGCCAACAGCTTTATCCCACGCACGTCTGGCGCTCCCCGACGTACTCCTGTTCCGTGGTGGACGGAGGAGTGTCGGAGCGCCATCCGGGCGCGTAAACGTGCGTTTCGGGCTTTTGACGCCAGGAGTACTACAGAAAACCTCATAGCCTTTAAGAAAGCGAGGGCTTTTGCTCGGCGCACCGTAAGAGAGGCGAAGCGTGCGTCCTGGCATGCTTACGTGAGTACGTTGAACCGGTTCACACCAACATCGCAGGTATGGTCTCGAATTAAGCGCATATCTGGGCACTTTACATCCATGGCTCTTCCGGTACTATGTGTGAACGGACAGGCCGTGACGCGCCCCTTGGAAGTTGCGAACGAGATTGCCCGGGCGCTGGCCTACCGCAGCGAAGGTGGCAACACTAACCCACAGTTTGTGCGGCACCGAGCGCAATGTGAGCAATCTGGAGTGGATTTTTCAACGAGTGAGCTACATTGTTATAATGATCCATTCACCCTAGTCGAGTTGGATTGGGCGATTGCCAAGCTTCGCAGCGTGTCAGAAGGCCCGGACACTGTGCACAACGACATGCTCAAGCATTTGCCGCGTCGCGTGCTTCGCGTTTTATTAGCGGTATTTAATGCGCTTTGGGCCAGTGGGGACTTTCCAGCCTCTTGGCGAGAAGCTATAGTCGTTCCTATTTTGAAACCGGGTAAAAGTGGACTGGATCCTTTACACTATAGACCTATTTCTCTCACTTCATCGCTCTCTAAGTTGATGGAAAAGATGGTTAATGTCCGTTTAACTTGGTTTTTAGAACACCACGGCGTTTTTACAAACGCCCAGTGTGGCTTTAGAAAGAATCGCAGCACAGTTGACAATCTTTTAGTTCTTGACACTGCGATTCGTATGGGATTTAAAGCAAGCCGACACATAGGCGCAGTGTTCTTTGACATAGAGGGCGCCTATGACACCACATGGCGTCAAGGCATCCTTCTCAAGCTACACAGGTATGGTATACGCGGCAATATGGGGACCTTTCTTCAAAACTTTCTAGTTGACCGTTCTTTCCGTGTCCGTGTTGGAGACGCGCTCTCTGAGAGGCATGTTCAAGTTAATGGGGTGCCCCAAGGCGGCGTTCTCAGCGTAGCTTTGTTCGCCGTTATGATCAACGACATCGGGATGGGGCTTCCGCAGTCTGTAGGTCGTGCGCTTTTTGTTGATGATTTTACTATTTGGACTAGCGCAGCAAGACCACCATCGATGGAACGCCAACTCCAGTTAGCTGTTGACCGCGTTGAGAAGTGGGGTACCATGAACGGGTTCAGGTTTTCACGTAGCAGGACTGTAGCCATGCATTTTTGTCGTAGCCGGCAATGCGGTGACCTTTCTATCCGTATGTATGGACAATGCATCCCAACTGAGCCTGTGGCTAGATACCTTGGGGTATACTTTGACCGCCGACTTACATATAAGGCACATCTTAAAACGCTACGTGAACGCTGTTTTAAATCTTTGAACGTATTAAAATGTGTTTCGCGCACGTCGTATGGCGGAGATCGGAGCACGCTTTTGCTGCTGTATCGGGCAATCATACGCTCTAAGCTGGACTATGCATGTTTTATTTATGACAGCGCATGTGAGTCCACGAAACGGATCATTGACACCATCCATCACACTGCTTTACGTGCCATCACAGGGGCGTTCCGTACATCTCCTACCCAAAGCCTCTTGGTAGAATCGTACGAGCCGCCGTTGTCAGCGAGGAGGAAAATGCTTGGCATGCGTTATGCACTGAAGCTGCGACAGTTTCCGTGTCACCCCGCATATCACGCAGTCTTTCCGCGGCCTGCTGTGCCGTTTGTTCGCAATGCACCTCGGGCGCATGCAGTGACCTTTGGCTCCCGGATATAAGCCTTACTGCGGGAAACCGAAATTCCCATTCGAAAGGTGAAGCGATCACGTCACCTGTGCACTCCTCCCTGGCATTTGATCTCACCCTTCACAGACACATCTCTGACTGAAATGAAAAAAGGTGTCTCGCTGCCAGATATAATGAGGTCCAGAGCGTTTGAGCGTATTGCGTTATATGAGGGCTACACACACACTTACACGGACGGCTCTAAAACTTCTGATGGTGTAGGCTGTGCGTTTGTGAGCGGTGGCGTCACCCGGTCGTTTTCATTGCCCCCAAACGCTTCGGTGTTTACATCAGAGCTTATAGCAATCATTAAGGCACTATGTTTCATTGAAGTCGGTGACGAACCCTTGCATCTCATTTTGACGGACTCTCTGAGCAGCGTTCTGAGTGTGAAGTCTTTTTATCCGTCATGTCCCCTTATACAGGACATTTTAATACGTTTGACTCATCTGGATGAGGCCGGAAAGAAAATCATGCTATGTTGGGTTCCTAGTCATGTCGGCATCGCGGGCAACGAGCTGGCTGACGCGGCTGCTAGGCGAGCAGCGCTGGCTCCATGTGTTCACTCTCTTTCTATTCCTGCCAGAGACTTTTACCCCACAATAAAAACCTTCCTGCACAACAAGTGGCAGCGTTGTTGGGACCGGATGGATTGTAATAAGCTCAGAGAGATAAAACCTAAGCTAGGTCAGTGGTTCTCTTGTTCGCGGAAAATGCGGCGAGAGGAGGTGATCCTCTGCAGATTGCGCATCGGGCACACATACGCAACCCACGGCTATATGTTGGAGGGAGCCGATAAACCGATCTGTCATCGATGTGGTGCCGTCCTCACCGTTCGCCATATTCTTATTTCTTGTCCGCGCCTCGCGGAAGAACGCCAACGCTATTTTGGACAGCATGACTTGCCCCTTACCATCTGTGATATGCTAGGAGATAAATCACGATTTCTGGAATTTCAACAGATCTTTTTGTTTCTCAAACACATCAACTTTGGGACCATTTATGCGGCTCATTAGATAGGTAAAACCAAACTCGTTATGGGCGCCAAATGACCACCGCAGTCGGCGCGCCCCTAAACTCCAATAAACAACAACAACAAGCTAATGCCTCCCCATAGGTGTTACGCGGGCCGGGAGGAGGGAGGGACGGACAGCAGAGGAAGGGGGGGGGGGGGGGGAGGAAGCTGTAATGGCGGGCGATATCTACGACGGCGCCGGTCGCGTCACCCAGTGTCACCTGTGTGGCCTGCGCGGCTGCTCTGGTCGACCGAAGGGCTGCTAATCACACGCGCACCAATGCCGAACATCACGCTACGTACGCCACGTGAACAATGGTGTACAGAGCTGCGTATTTTGAGATAAGGGGTATGCAGGTTCGACTCTTGACGCTGGAGCGGCTTGGAGTCGCGATCATTGGGACTGCAATTTGTTCTAGTCCATGATAAGGTCGACCATCCAGCGCCTCTGTCGCGTTATGCGACCTTGATGACTCAAACACGGCACCATGTCTGCCTTTTATAACCGGACGCCAGCCATCAGAATTACTTTTGCGGGTATTAGTCGCAGAGCGAATTGTTACCGGCAGCGTTTAGGGGATAAGCCATCCCACCATCATTCGAAGCTGGAGCACAAGAGCACTAGCCCACCAGCTGTTGTGACACAGGGGTTCGGTATACAGCCAACTTTGCACATCGCGCACGTCTGTCAGATTGGCTGAATGCATTTACAACCATTTCGTATTCTCTCTTGCAATTGCGGTATTTGCGCCACGTGTCGGAGAATTCGATCCAGCCGGCGCCCACGCACCCGTTCGGGCCGTAGTAGTGCTCCTTGACGAAGTCGTCGCAGTCGATGATTCCGTCGCCGTCGCAGTCCGAAGGCAGCTTCTGCAGGAAGAGCTTCACGGCCAGGGTGGCGCACGCCGGGTTGCTGGCGCACCTCTGGAAGGTGTAAGCCTTGTAGAGGTTGGCCCGGCTGGTGACGTTGCTGGTGATGAAGTAGTCCTCGTTCATCATGTACGCGCCGCACACGTCATTCTGGCAGCCGACGCTCCAGTCGCAGCCGCGCGCCTGGCAGATGCAGCGCAGACAGTTCTTGCTGACGCGTACCGCAGAGGAGCGCCGGGCCAGACTGTGTGCTGGGCTGGCCTGCGCGGCAGTCCAGCAGTAGCAGCAGCAGCAGCGGCAGCAGCGGCAGCGGCAGCGGCAGCGCCGGCGGGGGGGCGCCCAAGACATGGCGTCAGGTCGGCAGGCGGTCACGGATGGCACTAATGGCCGAGGCGGGGCGCCTCCAGCCGTCGGCAGGGCCGGCCGGACGGACGGCAAACCTGTCGGCGCTCCACCAGCTAGCCTGAGGGCGGTGCCCGCCGCCTGGGAATCCCCGGCCGCTACCAATGTCAGAGGCCCCTCGGGCGGACCGACCAGTCCACCACTCCGACCAGCTGGTATGGCGCCGTGTGGGAGCCAACCAAGGTCGTTAAAAAAGCAAGCGATTACTTCGCAGTAGGGCCTCGTCGACAAACCGACATATGCGCAGTTCTGGCGGAGTTGATGTGATATTCATTCGGCGGGGCCAAGGGTATAAAACCGGTTCAGAGGCGTAGCCAGGGCTTCGCCCAGGGTAGGGCCAGATCGGGGCATAGGGGCTCTTCCAACCATGAAGCCCCCTCGTCGTCGCCAGGGACCGTGTTTGGGTTCCAGGCCATGCATGCTTGGGATTATATATTGATGCTTCAGGGGTTGTTTGTTACGATTTTGAAGTGCTACTGGCGCCTTAAACTACCAAAAAGCACTGGGGCCTTCTGTCCCGGGTAAGCCTTCTCCACCTCCAGGGAGGGGGAGGGGCGAAGACCATGGCCCTTTGAACTTCTAGAAGTGCTGATTGGATTCCAATTTTTTGGAGCTCCTCCAAAAATTATAATCCAATTTTGGAATGGGATGGACGGGGCAAATATGTTCGGTGTTTGATAGCTGATATCATGCTGTCATGTCACTTATTGGTAAACATCTCATTTAATGTAATGCTGCTCGCTTTCAAAATAGTTTGATTCTGAAGCATAAACAAGTTGTTGATGAGCCGCACTAGAAAATGATACGTTTTGACACATGAGATTAAAAGCTTTCTTTTATGAACAACGATAGAAAGGGCATCGATCGTAATGTTTTCAGGAGATCCCGTGATCCTCATCTCTTGCCTAGTCACGATTGGTTAGCTCTCACCAGCTGATTAAGCTGCCGTCGTCGAGCTCTGTGATAGGCTCAGCGGACAGCGATGTGCCTTGTAAATTGTTGATGTTTTCACGAACGCCCATGCTACACATTACTTAACCACGATCATGTGCTTTCTGTTTGGTCGATTCTAGTGATGAATGCAACGCCGCGAGAAATGACGGGTTATTGGTTGTAGTTAAGTCATTTTTTATATAGGCAGGACTTTTTTGAACGTTTGGACGACCCAATTTTTAGGTACACTTGGACCGGACAGTGGGTCCACCTTTCGTCTTTGGATTGGACCACGGACAGGAAACTTTAAAAACGGCACCTCTGCTAGCTACGTCACTGAACCGGTTCAGCAGCGATCTAAGTGATCGCCTTCTTCGTCGCCGGGGCTTTGCGACGCATGAAGCCGCCGAGACTATGTGACGACGCCTGCCTGTCACCCTCCGCAGGGGAGGGGATGATGGTCACTGCGGAGAATCGATGTGTCGGGTGTCAGTCGGGACACGGGCACATGATGTGTCGGGTGCCAGTTGAGTCACTGAAGCGCTGGGTGTCCAGCGGCACGCCCATGCCGAGCTAAGTCCTGACCTCACCCACTTTTGAACCGGTCAGGGTAACCACGTGCTGAGCGCCACGGCCGGCGGTTCAGGTGCTGCTGTGGACGAGCCGGCTGGTGCCGGGACAGAGCAGCGGTGCCGGCTCGGCTCGCGCCCCCGACCTGGCGCGGCTGGCCGACGGACGGCTGGTCGGCCTGCTGCCGCAGCAGGATGCCAACCGTCGTATCGACCTGCAGAAGGTCGGTGGTCGGCCGCCGGGCCCAGCCGTGGCGCCGCGGCGGCTGGCCGGGCACCGCGAGTCACCCGGAGTTGGGGCAGTGTTCGGTAACGGTCCTGTGCACGAGGGACGTGAGCAGGTCTAGCTAGCCGGTAGCCCCCGGACTCGCGGATATCTATTTCTTCAAAAGGTGGCGCGCCACGGTGAAGCTTCGTCGAGATGGCAACCAGGTGAGTGATGTGTCTGTTCTCCCACTCTGGTCTTCTCGAGCTTTCGGCCCTTTGTTGCAGATGCACTGTGTAGCCAGCTTCGGCGATCACACTGCCGACGTCAGCAGCGTGACGCGTGACAAAGAGAACAGCCTGCTGTCAGCGGTCGCTAGATGGCAGCGTCAAGCTCTGGCACGCCGAGCAAACTGCCGTTTCATCAGTCGACTCTGGCTTCCTCACTGTGGAGCACATCTGGACGGCGGATGACCGTGTCACATCTTATGTGGTCACCGTCAGCCGGGACCGCTGATATGACTGCGTGGAAGATGAACGTCACAGACGGAAAGATGCCCACAGCGGTGTACACAGTCAAGATGAAGGAGGACACTAAGGTATGGGTTTGGTGGTCATGAGGTTAGCTTCTAAGGGACCGCAGCTGAAATATGTGCTTAGATGTGCAAAACTCCTGGTGTATATTGTCAGCGTCCTGCTGTCATGCATCAGCTTCCGTTGTATCGTGACAATCCACTAGGGTCGATTCTACTGACTACCTTCCTGTTTCGCCAAGGTACTCATTTCGTTTCCGTCGGCCGGGGTTCGTGGTGTGACAATACCCTCAGCTGATGGCATGTGGCCATGACTATTGAGTGTGATCTTGACCTGGTGACCGGGCGTGGGCGGCGACGCCCCTGACCGCTGCCGGGCCTGCAGAGCGAGCTGGTGGCGGCTGCGGTGGGCGCCCGTCAGCTGGACGCGGATGGCGCTGCTCTCGTTCACGCCGCTGGCGTCATGCCTGACGGCGTGTTCGCCGTGCACGTGACCCTGGAGCCGGCCGGCGGCGGCCACCACAAGCTGGACTGGTGTCCCATGGGCGGCTGGATCACGCCGCTGCTCTGCGTGGCCGTTCGGCGGCCAGCAGCGCTGCCTGCTGGTGGGGCGACGGCCGACGGCCACCTGACCGTGGGTCAACAAGTGCGCCAAGAGACACGCCTTGTATCATGGTGAGCGGCAGCCCGTCAGAACCTGTGACGCAGCTGTGTCGGGCGCGGGGGAGAGGGGAGGTTTCTGGGGAGTCGTGGGCCATCGGGCGGGGTTGTGATATCACCTCTGGGGAGTCGTGGGACCATCCGGCGGGGTTGTGATATCACCTCTGGGGAGTCGGGGACCATCTGGCGGGGTTTGTGATATCACCTCTGGGGAGTCGTGGGACCATCTGGCGGGGTTGTGATATCACCTCTGGGGAGTCGTGGACCATCTGGCGGGGTTGTGATATCACCTCTGGGGAGTCGTGGACCATCTGGCGGGGTTGTGATATCACCTCTGGGGAGTCGTGGACCATCTGGCGGGATTGTGATATCACCTCTGGGGGAGTCGTGGACCATCCGGCGGGGTTGTGATAATCACCTCTGGGGAGTCGTGGACCATCCGGCGGGGTTGTGATATCACCCGCGCCGCTCCCATAGCCGGGGTCGAGTTTTGCGACCGGATCGCCGCTGTCGCGATCGATGATGTTCACTCCTGGCCTTTTGCGCCGCGTTCTCCAGCGAGCACAATGCGCAGCCGCGTGGTGCCCGCGTCGTTCGCGTGCCAGCGCCGCATGCCCTCCGCACCCCGGCGTGTATGCCTCGCCGCCGAGCGGCCTGCGATGCCCGTCCGGCTGCCGCGCGCGCCGTGCGCACCGGCCTGACCCGGCGGCCGCGCGGCCCCCAGCGGCGCCGATCCGGACCCGGCCGTGATGCAGGTGCGCGCGCTGGGGACCTCGACGCTAGTGGCCTGCGACAGGAACGGCCATGGTCTGTCGGCTGAACAGTCGGAGCGCCTCAACGTGCTGCGGTGAGTGTTAAGTGTTACTGCGGGACCGGCAGGTCCTCGTCACTTGCCGCCGTCCCTGCCACTGTCACCGTGTCCTCTCGCTTCTGCCGGGCCCACCACGCAGTGACCCGGGCCCGCTTCCGTGTCAGCGGTCGTACCTTCTCGGCCACAACGGTAGCCGTCATGCCCGGCACTGGTTTGGTCGGCCCGGCAGGGTCATTCCCAATTAATCCAGGCTCACCGAGGACTCCACACCCATTATCGGGGGTGTCACGGTGTTTGTTATACCCGAGATACAAATGTCCCCTTACATCATCCCAAATATTCAGGCGTAGGTGACAGCTGCAATAGCTAAAACACCGTTAATCGTCTTCAAATGACAGGAATGAGTTGCGTGCCAAGCGTTCCCTCGTGTGCAGATCTCCGGGTATGACTTTCTCCGCGGAGCTTGCTGTCTTGCATCTAAATTTGAGCCCCTCTAGTATGCATTGCATATCACGTGTTTTCTCATGGTGTCGTCCTCTTTTGATGCGCGTCTGAAGTGCATAAACACGTCCTTGTTGCAGCAGACCATGTCTGCGCGCGCGCCCAGCGTGGTCTGGGGCCATGTCCGGGAGTGTCATCTGACAGTGACCTGTGTCCGCGCGCCCCAGCGTGGTGTGGGGTCATGTCCGGGAGTGTCATCTGACACTGACCTGTGTTCGCGCGCCCAGCGTGGTCTGAGGCCATGTCCGGGAGTGTCATCTGACACTGGACCTGTGCCCCGCGCGCCCAGCGTGGTTTGGGCCTGTCCGGGAGTGTCCTCTGACACTGACCTGTGTCCGCACCCACCCCCCGCGTGGTGTGGGGCCATGTCCGGGAGTGTCATCTGACACTGCCCTGTGCCTGCCCGCGCAGCGCGGAGTGGGAGCCGGTCTTGCCGGCGGCGCGCCGGCTGCAGCAGCCGCCAGCCGCCTCCTCGTGCCAGCTGTCCGACCGATGCCCAGCGGCGGGAGGTGCGGCCGCCGGGCGCCGACGCCGAGCCGTGAACAAGGACGGGGGCGCCGCCCGAGCGACCGCCCCTACCGCCCTGCTGGTGACCGACACTGAGCTGGTGCTGGGCGACGCCGCGCCGGCTCTGGTGCCGATCCGGCGCTGAGTACAGCTGCACCAAGGTGCGCTCCGGGACTGCCCGGACCGGGCAGGCGGCAGCGAGACGCGGCAGGGGGCCGCACGGCGCCGACAGCGTCCGGCGCTGGACTCTTGTGTCCGCTCATGACCACGGTGTGGCGGGTCGGAACTCTTCAGTGCAATGCAGCCAAACCTTAGCGGACTGCATTTCCGAGGCAATGCTGGGAAACAAACCTAATTTGGTTAATAGGCATAAATGATTTAACATTGCAAATTCGCTTAAAAATAGCTTGTAACACATCCGGAGCACAAAAAAAATAAAGCACGAAACTGGCACGCATGGCCAGGCATCACGCGTCTGTGCTAGTGGAAGTATCTTAAACGCGTAGTGATGCCCCTTCGTC